TGGCTGAGAGTGCCTCTGTGTGTTTTGAGTATCTGGAAGCAAATGCTGTCTGAATCCTCTGGGGACTGTGACTTTGAGACAACCAGGATTTCTTCCTGTTGCTGCCTGGATTCACCACTGTGACTTCAGGCTGCTTTGTGCAGTGTTGAGGGTAGAGATAAGAGTGTGTGGCTTCTCCAAATGGGCTGTTGGACAGTGGACCAAGAAGGGCTATTGCCCATGTGAACAGACAGAGGTGGGCAGCAGAGCTCAGCAGAGCTGAACTGCAGTCTTGGATGGGAAAGGGAGTCATTTGCTTCTGGTAAATGATATAGTATAAAAGGAGATGAAGGAGGAAAACAAAGGTTTCTGGCAAAGACCAGGCAAAGAACAGCTCTCCCTGGTAGGGACTGTGCCTCAGAGAGGCTGTCTTTGCTGACCTTTATGTCTTGGCCTTAGCAGAAACTGGAATTGAGAGGTGTTTCTCCATAGAAGACAAAAATAAATGTCCATGAGTGCTTTGTATGTGTGATGGAGGAATATCACAGAGAGGTCAGGTGTATGTGCAGTCTGTTACTTCTCCTTTGCAGGCCCCAAAGCAGAGCAGCATCTGATACTCCAAGGAAGCAGCCCAAATTCACATCCCTAGAAGCAAAACTTGTTGAGAAGTAGGATGAACAAGATATTGTTTTCCAAAGAGGTGATGGATTTACTAGGGCAAATCTTGCAAATCTTAATGGGAGTTGCAAGTATAAATCCTGGACTGGCTGTGAGTTGGAAGGGCCCTTTAAAGATTATAGAGTCCAACCTCCCTGCAGTGGGTGGGGGCATCTTTCACTGGACCAGCTTGCTCCAAGCCCCATCCAACCTGGCCTTGGACATTTCTAATGATGAGGCATCCACAGCTCCTCTAGGCAACCTGTGCCAGTGCCTCACCATCCGCATCTTAAAAATTTCCTCCTCATGTCCAATCTAATCTACTCTCAGTTTAAAACCATTGCCCTTTGCCCTGTCACTGCAGGCCCTAGTAAAAAGTGTCTCTCCATCTTTCTCATAATCCCCTGTTAAGAACTGAAAGGCCAGAACAAGGTCTTCCCAGAGCTTTCTCTTCTCCAGGCTGCACAACCCCAACTCCTCTCTATCTAGGCAGAACAGTCTTTCTGTTTCACATCTTCTCTCTGCAGAGGCCCAGAATAAACATCCTACTTGTGTCCTATACCACAGGTATGTTCTTACGTAAGAACAGCAGCAACATTTGCCTCTAAAACTATTGCCCTCTATAAATACTTGTCCCTGTATCATGACTAGTCGATGTCTTGTACTGTGTTTATAAATTTGTGCCATGTGTAGGGTGTTAAAATCCAGTTGTAAACTGAGCTAATGGCATATACTTATGTTCTGGTGTTCCTCTTTACAACAGCAGTTTGCTTTATGATTTTTAACCACATGATAAATCACTGACAATAAGAAATTAAGAGTGCATTTTTTTCTTTCAGGGGGAAGAGGCAAAAAAAAATTATATCAAGAACCATTTCAAATAAAACTTGAGTAAAGGCTAACTAGTGAGAAAGCTGTCACAAAAATGCATTTACAAGACTTACATATGGGTAGTAGGGAATGTGTGAGCAATTTTGAGTTCATAGACCAGTCTTGAACAGAGTAAATCTGAGAGTGAAGAAATGAAGTGAGCAGAGATCAGAACCAAAATTAAGCAAAATCCCTTTTCTTTTATTATGTAGTTCGGGAGGAGTCAGAAAGACATTCTGTTGATTTCTTGCTCAAGATAATCCCTGCTAAGGAATTAATGCTCTGAGCAGATGGTGCTGTCTCATTTCCAGCAAAAGAATCAAGTGAGATAGTTCATGCAATTATTTTTAATGGCTTGTGTGGTGATCTTCTTAATTTGTGAGAAAATGTTTCATCTTTTGTCAGAGCAGGCTGTGTTCA